CGAGACCGGGCAGGCATGATGCAGACCCAAGCCCAGGGCAGGGTCTGGGCGAGAGAGTGGGGAAGGCTCCAGACAGTGTGAGGTATACAGGGGACAGTGGGCAGGGAGCCACAAGAAGATGCCCTCTCCACCCCTACCCTCTCGTTCCAGGCAACAACTTCCTTCTGCACAACCTGATCTTGGACACGGGCATCACACAGCAGCTGGTGGAGCGTGTGTGGCGGGACCAGGATCTCAACACGTAGGCACTGCCCAGCCTGTGGGGGCAGGAGGCTGGGATGGGCCCAGAGGCCCTGGCACTGCCCTGAAGAAGGCAGGCCTGTGACTCACCTCCCTGCTGCCCCTCAGGTACAGCCTTCTAGCTGTGTTCGCTGCCACCGACGGCGGCATCACCCGTGTATTCCCCAACAAGTAAGTGACCTACCTGCCACCGGGGTCCCTGCCGCCGCCTGGGACCCTGCCTCTGTCCCGCCACCCATAGGCCTCCTTGCACCTGCTGAGACACTGTCCCCTGCACACCACCCTTTCCACCAACCTCTGTCCATCTCGGGTAACCAGAGCAGCTGAGGACTGGACGGAGAACCCGGAGCCCTTCAATGCCAGCTTCTACCGCCGCAGCCTGGATAACCGTGGCTATGTCTTCAGACCCCCACACCAGGACGGTGAGTATCCTCCCAGCTGCCCAGCAGCTGGTGGGAAGTTGAGGCTTCCCTGTCTGCTCGGCCAGGGCTGGGCTCTGCTCTCTGAGGCCCCTCTCGAACATGAGGTGAGCCAAGACTGGGGCCAATGAGAAGACAGAGCTAGGCTGTGTCAACGCTACACTGGGTACCAGGTGCTTGGCTTGGGCTCTGGGGTCCACAGGCCCAGCACAGAGCGGTCAGTATGGCCACCGGCCCCTACTCCTGACCTCCCCACCCCACCTGCAGCCCTGTTAAGGCCACTGGAGCTGGAGAATGACACGGTGGGCATCCTCGTCAGTACAGCTGTGGAGCTAAGCCTGGGCGGACGCTCGCTGAGGCCAGCAGGTGAATGCCTGGGGCAGAGGCGGGGAAAGAGACGATGGACAGGGTGCTGCCCAGGCAGGCGGGCGTTGATGGCCCCTTGCTGTCCTCTATAGTGGTAGGTGTTAAGCTGGACCTAGAGGCCTGGGCTGAGAAGTTCAAGGTGCTAGCCAGCAACCGTACCCACCAGGACCAGCCTCAGAAGGTACCTGGGCGGGGGTGGGGGCTGTAAGCCCAGCAGTACTGAGTCCCCCACCCCCCAGGAACTCCTACCACTCACTCAGAGTGGTTCCTGTGCCTTCTGGGGAAACAGTGGCTGTTGCAGATGGCCTGGGGACCCAGATGTACGAAGGGTGATGGGAGGGGGAGAACTGGCGGGCACCTTACAGTCCTTGCTCTCTGCCCAGCAGTGTGGCCCCAGCAGCCACTGTGAGATGGACTGCGAGGTTAACAATGAGGTACGTGGGCCCTGAACCGTAGTATACCCTAATCCCAGACTTCTTAGTCCCAGCTGCAACTCCTAGCCTGTCCCTTGGCCTGGTTGGGGGCGGGGCGGACGGGTGTCTCAATATCCCCACCTTGACCTCACAGGTTTACCAGACCTGTGAGGGGAGTGGTGCCCCTTTGACCCAACCACCTGACTGCCAGGGTCTGAGGCCTGAGCCCCTCTCCATCCTCCTCCCCCTTCCCTACCTCCCAGGACCTGCTCTGTGTCCTCATTGACGATGGGGGATTCCTGGTGCTGTCAAACCAGAATCATCAGTGGGATCAGGTGAGGGGCAGGAAGAGGGTGGGAGGAGGGGAACCAGGACTCAAGCCTTCCAGGGGGAGGGGTGATGTGGCACTGCCAATCCTGTGACTGCCACTTTCCTGGCATTCCCAGGTGGGCAGGTTCTTCAGTGAGGTCGATGCCAACCTGATGCTGGCACTCTACAACAACTCCTTCTACACCCGCAAAGAGTCCTACGACTATCAGGCAGCCTGCGCCCCCCAGCCGCCCGGCAACCTGGGTGCTGCACCCCGTGGCGTCTTTGTGGTGAGCCCCAGTGATGCCCAGCCAAGAGATGGAGAGGGGGAGGGGCGGCCCTGGGACACCTGCCCACAGATGACGCTCCATCTCTGACGAGAGAGTTGGGGGCGGGGTGACCCAGGTCCGGGGACAGCCTCGGCAGCCCACGCCCCTCTCTCCACCGCAGCCCACCATTGCAGATTTCCTTAACCTGGCCTGGTGGACCTCGGCTGCCGCCTGGTGAGTCCCAGGGGGAGGGGACAGAGGGAGGGTGTTCCCTGGGCAGAAGGAGGGCTCAAGAGAGGTGGTGGGGCAGGGCACTGATCTCTGGTGACCACTCCCCCACTCAGTGACCCATGCCCTTTCAGGTCCTTGTTCCAGCAGCTTCTCTATGGCCTCATCTATCATAGCTGGTTCCACGCAGGTAGGTGGGGCTTCGGAAGCCCCTCCTCGAACCCCCCCCCCTTTCCCCAGTCTAAGCTCAGACCCATCCCAAAGGGAGCTGGCCGGGGTGTATGGGTAGGGCTGAGGCGCTTTGGGCCCTCGCAGACCCCGCGGAGGCCGAGGGGAGTCCCGAGGCGCGCGAGAGCAGCTGCGTCATGAAACAGACCCAGTACTACTTCGGGTCGGTGAACGCCTCCTACAACGCCATCATCGACTGCGGAAACTGCTCCAGGTGCCGGCGGGGAGCGGGACCGGAGGAGCCGGTGGGATGGGGCCTGCCGGGGGCCTGCCGGGGGCCTGCCGGGGGCCTGCCGGGGGCCTGCCGGGGGCCTGCCGGGGGCCTGCCGGATGGGCGCGGCCCGGGGCGGGGACGGGGCTCCAGCGGGGAGGGGCGGGGCGAGTCTCAACGCCCCGCCTTCCCGTCCTGCCTCCAGGCTGTTCCACGCGCAGAGACTGACGAACACCAACCTTCTCTTCGTGGTGGCCGAGAAGCCTCTCTGCAGCCAGTGTGAGGCTGGCCGGCTGCTGCAGAAGGAGACACACTGTATCCTGCCCCCGCCATCCCCCGCCGCCCGCGCTCCCCCTCCTGCCCCGCGCGCCCCCTCCGTGCCCTGCCACCTCCTTGACTCCCCACCCATGCCCAGCGGACGGTCCGGAGCAGTGTGAACTGGTGCAGAGACCGCGATACCGGAGAGGCCCGCACATCTGCTTTGACTACAACGCGACGGTGAGGAGGGGGCGGCGCACTTGACCTCGCGCTCCCTCTCCTCCCCGGGCCACCCGGGCCGACCCGCTCCTTGCCTCTTCCTGCAGGAAGATACCTCAGACTGTGGCCGCGGAGCTTCCTTCCCGCCGTCGCTGGGCGTCCTGGTCTCCCTACAGTTGCTGCTCCTCCTGGGCCTGCCTCCCCGGCCGCAACCCCAAGTCCACGCCCACGCCTCGCGCCGCGTCTGAGCGTCCCCCTCCCACCCCTCCCGAGGCCTCCCCGTCTCTCCCCTACTCCCCTAACCCACACACCCCGCCTTAGAGCCTCGCCTCCTCCCTCACTGAAGGACCTGAGCGGCCAGGCTCAAGAGTCTGAGCTTTGGAGTGGGGGGATCCCAAAGGAGGGCACCGCAGGTCTTTGGCCCCCAAGCCACATCTCGACGTTGAACCGTCAGAGTGACCCCAGACCCCTTATTCCCACTGGACTCACCTACCCCTGAGGGCTGGGACAGGGAAGCCACAGTACTGGTGCCAAACCAGGCCTCCACTGCCCACCCTGCCCCAAGGCTCCCTTTGTGCGGGAGACCTAGGCCCTGCCCCAGCTGGACTACTCTAACCTGGCCCTTAGGTCCCACCCAGGACCAAATCTGGATTCCCTGGTAATAATGAAGTTGAGATGGGCAGTTTGAGGCCTGTGCATCCCAGCTTAAGTCCTTGCAGGAGAGAAGTCCTGAGGCAGCCCCACAATGGGCTCCTGTGTCTGGCCTACAGCCACCTCCCACCTTCCTCCAGCCCTAGAGGTGACAGGCCAGTGACTGTGACACTGGCTCAGACACAATCCCATACACACCTGGAGCCCTGAGGGCAGAAACTCACATTAGACACACCAAGGAGGACACACACACACACACACACACACACACACCATGGGGTGGGGTGGGGGTGGGGGCTCACAAAGCCTTACACAGGGCAAGGGGTTGGTGGGAGGGTTGGCACATGCACACTTCATCTCCTGCTCACCACCCGCCTCTAATCTGACCTGCAGCCCGGCTGGTCCTCTGTCTCTAAAGCTGAATGTCAAATAGTGCCAAATGCTGGGGCAGGGGGTGACAACCCCTCTGTCCCACCCTAGCCGCCAGTATCCCGTAAATGTCCCTCACCCCGCCAGGTGCTCATTGTAACCATTTCGCACTAGTGTCATGCTCCCAGCGGGACTACAAGCCACTGCCTGCACCTCTCGGCAGAGGAATCTGCACCAGACATTGCCCTTTGCCTTAGCCAGAGTGACATAATCACTCCTGGCTGGGCCATCCCACCCCCAATCTGGCCCTTACACACTCAGGCCTGTGCCCATTCCCTGTTTCTTCACACACCCATACACACACACATTCCATGCCCCCAATGGGGGGGGGTGGCAAACTGTTCCTCCCCGCTGAACACACACTTGCACACGCATAAACACATGTACACACACTGCACACACAGAGGCTGGGCCCAGGCGCATGTCTTCACACCATTCATTCTGATCATTTCCCCTAAAGGCATCCCAGCCTGGGGGCAAGTGGGGGACGGAGGGCAGGGGGATGTGGCCATGAGGCTCAGATGGACTGGGAGGAGGGGGGAGGGTGATGCATTAATTAATGGCTCCGTTAATTAATGTCAAGTTGCTTGTTGCTTTCTCAGTGTGTGTGTATGGTCCATGCCCGCTGCTGGTGCCAGGGTGGGCACCCAAGCTGTACACCCAGCCTAGATGCCAGCCATGTCTTGCGGGGGCGTGTGTGTAACTGTAGTGTAGTCAGGTGCTCAATGGAGAATATAAAAATAAAAAAGAATCAAACATATATAGAAAAATATATATTTTAAGTTTAAAAAACAGGAAAACTGACAAACAACCCCATCAGGTAGTTGTCCAACCCCGAGCTGGGTCTGATCCCTCCCATCACCCACCCGACCTGGCTGCCCCCTCACCTCGGGCTCGAGGGATCTGTGGGGGACTGGGGGGCCATTTCCTTTTCTCTGCGCCCTTTTTTTTGGTTGTTGTTCTATTTTGTACAGACAAGTCAGAAAACACAGTGACAAAAAAGTCAAGAAACTTTGTAAAATATCGTGTGTGTGATTCCTTGTAAAATATTTTCAAATGGTTTATTACAGAAGATCAGTTATTAAATAATGTTCATATTTTCACTTCAAATGGTTCCCATCCACTGTGTCTGCCTCAGGGTGGGGATTGGGTAGCTTGAAGACAGGTGGCCATGACCTCAAAGTCGCATCTACCATTCAGCCGGGAGTGAAGGCCACTGCAACCCAGGTACCCAGTGGATGTAGGGCATAATGCTTCCTGGTATTCCAAAGTGCCAGAACTTTGACATCCTTTCTCATATAACCTCAAAAGCCTCTGAGAAAAGCTGTCCTTAAAGGCCAAGGCAGTGGAAGAAAGAAGACAGACGAGATTCAAGTTTAGGCAGGAGTCTAGACATCAAGGCGGACCACCAGGACCTAGTGGGCAGGTCATCCACTTGGAGCGATGAGTTAGTGGTACTGGGCGCAGGTCCAGGATCCAGTGCTTGAGGGCCCCATCCTGTTGTCCAGAGGAGGCCAGGGTCTGGCCCACCCACAAGCATGACCACTGCTCCTTTCCAGCCCAGAAGACGCTTAAAGCCCAGTGCTCTCCTTGACCACCACTGCTCATGCTGGAACCCAAGACTGAGTCCATTTCAGTTAATCCTCTCAGACCTTCCTCTGGCCTGCCTATGCCCTTGTTCAATTTAATCCCAACTCTCTTAATGATCAATCCTAGTCCATGTGACCCTTCACACTCTTTTCAAGAAGAAAAACCAGTAACCACCAGCACAGAGGTTTCCCGGTACTGCTGATGTTCACTCTTCCATGACGCACACTTTGTACGCACCGGGTGGGCAGCCAGCCGACAACCTTAGACCTGTACTAGTTTGTCTCCATACTGCAGATAAACAAACTGAGACTTAGGAGAAATCCTCTCCTCCATGGTGAGAAGGGCAAGAAATCAGCAAAGGTTTCAGAGAGGAGGTGACCTGTGGCTGGAACCAGGCCTTCACAAAGACGCCCATCCTCATTCCCCTCCATGGATTGGCCACAGAACAATGCCTAATTAGTAACCCCAGAGAGAGCTCCATGCCCTGCAAGAGCCCCCAGATCCTGGGGTAGGGTTGCCAGATAAAATGTAGAATGTCTAGTCATATCTGAAATTCAGATAAGCACGAATTTTTTTTAGAATGTTTCCAGTACTGCACTATACTAAAAAGACTGGGGACATGCTTACACTAAAAAATCATTCATTTATCTGAATTTCAAATTTGACTGTACACCCTGTACTTCGATTTGCTCAGTCTGGCAACTCTACCCTAGGTGGCATCCAATGAAAACCCAGACCCTAGGCAAAGAAAAGGGTGTCACGTCAACACCCTTTGTAACCTGGAAGGCTATGTGCACACTGGGATTTGTACTGAGATCAGTGGCTGAAAGGAAGGGATGGATTCTGCACTTTATAAACGTGCTTTGTCGTATAATTATTTTAATTACTTATGCATAATTTTAAAAAGTGACTCAATACACCAAAAAATCAGTTTGCTCTGAAACTGCAGGAAGCCACTGTTGCAGTAAATACCCTGGCCCAAGTCTGTCGGGGAGACCTCTCTTCCTCAGGGCCAGAGATGAGAAATCTGTGGCAGGGAAGAGAGTCACTAAAAGGAGCCCAGTCTTGCCTCTTTGGGGGCAGGAGTCCTGAATTCGAGTCGCAGCTCCACCACACTAGTAACAAGGTTAGCCTGAGCAATACACTCACTGGGCACCTAGGGTGGACTGGCATTTTACATCACAGTCTCCACGAACCCTCACCGTGCTAGGTCCTGTCATCATCTCCATTTTACGGTTCATGAAATCGAGGAACTTGGCTCGTGTCACAGAGCCCCCAAATGGCAGAGCAAGAATCCCAATCTGGGTCAGGTCCCATACACCCATACAACCTAGGTCAGGCACACACCGGACTACGGAGTTTCGGGAGTTCCCGAACACTGGTACGCACACCAAGACCACCTACATTCTTACCTACACACCTGTCCACAAGGACACACTCAGATGTACTCAGAAGTACATGCACGGAGTCACTGTTCCCAGGAAATTCAGCAAGCGAGTGTCCTCAGTTGTGCTGCCGCGCGGGTACCCGGAGCCTTCCCAAGGTTACCTGAGCCAGCTTACTCCTCCCCAAACCCGGACAGGCAGCGGAAACGGTCCTGAGCACTACACCTCCCCAGCACAGCCTCCTCTTATCAACCGGAACAGCCGGGGCGCACAGCTTCCTGGAACTTGTAGTTTTACAGAACTCTGACTTCCGCTCGTCCCCGTCTTCAGGAGAGGACTACGTGTCCCAGCATGCCTCGGAGCCGGAAGGGCATCCCGCCGCTGCCCGGATGCGCAGGCGCAGCACCGCTGTTTGTCGGCGCCTGGGAAGGGAGGAGGTACGGTCGCAGCCGAGACCGAGGCCGAGCCGGAGCTGACGAGACTTGACTGGGGCCCAGAACAAGGCTCCAGTCCGGCTCAGACCATCGGGCCCCTGAGTGGATGGAAGAGGCCGAGCCCTGAGATCAACGCCAGCCGGGTCAGCTTGGCGCGGGGCCCACAGGCAGGCAGGACGGCAGGCAGACGTGCCGAAGCTTCCCAGGGCCTTCCCTCAGGTCCCCGAAGAGGGGCCTAGGCCCCGGGCCCGCGACCAGGCCCAGCTCGGCCCTTTTGGACTGGAGCGGACGCAACCAGAAGTGGAATCTTCACCGGGGCCATAGGCCAGTGACTAGGCCGGGCTCGGGCCTCCCGTCGGGGCCGGACTGGGACGAGGCCCCGGGGAGGCCCCTGACACACTAGACCCTTCCCTCAGGCCGACGCCCTTCGGGAAGATGCAGCGCGCCCTGCCGGGCGCCCGCCAGCATTTGGGGGCCATTCTGGCCAGCGCCAGCGTGGTGGTAAAGACCCTGTGCGCGGCAGTACTCTTTCTCTACCTGCTGTCCTTCGCCGTGGACACCGGCTGCCTGGCGGTCACCCCAGGCTACCTCTTTCCGCCCAATTTCTGGATCTGGACCCTGGCCACCCATGGGCTGATGGAACAGCACTTGTGGGATGTGGCCATCAGCCTGGCCACAGTGGTGGTGGCTGGACGTTTGCTGGAGCCCCTCTGGGGAGCTTTGGAGCTGCTCATCTTCTTCTCAGTGGTGAATGTGTCTGTGGGGCTGCTGGGGGCCTTCGCCTACCTCCTCACCTACATGGCTTCCTTCAACTTGGTCTACCTTTTCACTATCCGCATCCACGGAGCCCTGGGCTTCCTGGGTGGTGTCCTGGTGGCACTCAAGCAAACCATGGGGGACTGCGTGGTCCTGCGTGTGCCCCAGGTGCGCGTCAGCGTGGTGCCCATGCTGCTGTTGGGGCTGCTGCTGCTGTTGCGGCTGGCCACGCTGCTCCAGAGCCCAGCACTGGCCTCCTATGGCTTTGGGCTTCTCTCCAGTTGGGTGTATCTTCGCTTCTACCAGCGCCATAGCCGAGGCCGAGGGGACATGGCTGACCACTTTGCTTTTGCCACCTTCTTCCCTGAGATCCTACAGCCTGTGGTGGGGCTCTTGGCGAACTTGGTGCACAGCCTCCTGGTGAAGGTAAAGATATGCCAGAAGACAGTGAAGCGCTATGATGTAGGTGCCCCATCTTCCATCACCATCAGCCTCCCAGGCACAGACCCTCAGGATGCAGAGCGAAGAAGGTACTGTGGAGTCTTCCAAAACATTATTGAGCTAAGGGAGTTTTTATTGACCGAGTCTCGTGCCATCTGTTGTGCTTGCTGTGTGTTGGCTGGCAGCCAAGGGTCAGGTGTGGGGACAGACTTGGGAGATAAAATCTGGTTTGTGGCCTTGAGAAACTCAGCAATTAGGTGCCGGGCTCCAGTAGCACTTTCCAACATGAAGGAGTGCAATTTGCCTTTCACACCACTCGGGCCACTTAACAAGTCCTAAGAAATGTCCAGTTTCCTTTGGTACTGTGTAAGGGTTAATGGAGGGTCAGGTACACATAATCCTGACCTTGTCTCAGAATCCTGGAATCCTAGACACTGGTCCTATGGGAGCCAGAAACAACCTGCTGGTCCTATTTCCCCACTGAGGGAGGGACACACATGAAGACCTTCCTTACAGGGTGGTCTGAGCCACCCCAATTTCAAAATGCTGAACCATGTCCTCTTCCTGGGTCCTAATTCAGATGCTGTGCTTCTCTGCCACTTAATTTATTGAGGGGGAAACCTCAGGGTATTATTAGATTTGCCATCCTGTCCTTCCAGCATGTATGTGTCACCACACCCAGGGGACAGGCCATGTGACCCACCGCGGGAGCCTGCTGACCACAAAGGGAGTGGAGACAACCTTCATTATCTGTAAACCAAGCCATCTGCACCATCTGGAGTCCCAGCTGAATTATTCACTGAATGCACCTTGTCCAGGGCTGGGAAGACATTTTTTAATCCAATTGTCTCTCTCTCTCTCCCAGGTCTGTAGACTTACCAGAGTCGTCACAGCTCCATTTTCAACATCATTGTTGAAGTTCTTTTTTAGGCAGTTACTTTAGTAGTGAAATCTGGAGCAGACTCTGTTCCTGCTTTCTGGATTTGCCAAAGGCTTTTGGTTTTGCTCACCTCTTAAATTGATTCTTGGCAGGCAGCTTTATGAATTCACCTGAAAGGTTATCCCGGTGCTTAGTCCCCACTGGGTCTGTGGCATTGAGTGTAGGATACACCCCTTTCTTGAAGGAGTCGCCAGCTGGAGAAGGGCCACAGATTACTATGGCCTAAGGTGGTGGGTGTTGAAAAGTACACAAAACGTGCTGCGGGGCATTACTGTGAGCCCTGTGGTTTGTATCTCTGTGGCCGATGAATCCTAAAGACAGGTCTGTCTTCACTTTATCCAGTAGAGAAGGTGGGACCAAGACGGCTGAACCTGGTAGAAACTGAGCTGTCCTCAGAGCCCTGTAGGTGGGGCCGGATACCGGTGGTGACTCTTTATTTAGTGAGAAGTCTTGGATTAGTTAGGGTTGGCTGGAGATTCAAAACAGCTCTGCTCAGGCCCAAGAAAATGGCAGGCTGAGGTAGGGAAGGTTGTCAGGAGCTAGGTTCCTGGCATAGCCCTGTGGTTGTTACTTCTCCAGCCAGTTGGGCCTCTAGCAGCATGCTGCTCCCAAACCCAAAGGGCTACTAGTAGTGCGAGGCAGGGTTTCCTATCTTTGACCTTTGTGAGGAAGTGAGTACTATGCCACTACCTCTGTTTTGGCGGGCTTTAGACAGAATTGGCAAGGCTGTCTCCAGGCTGGAGCCTAGGTAGCACAGGGAACTGTCCATCTGTGCCAGTCTGCCATATGTCAGGCTAGAGCACAGGATGGAACTGGGCTAGCATTTTCTGTGCCCATGTTCTTGTTGCCTTTCCTGTCGTGTTGTCTGGCATGTTGGCGGTTTTGCTCCTCTGATGGAACTTGGAAGGCTGTTACAGGCTGTCCCCCATCCTTGTAGCACAGACAGGTTGAGGCATCAGGGTTCCAGAGTTACCACTATTGGAAGTATTAGCTGGCAGCATGGGCATTCCACCTCCTGGGTAAACTAGAGTCCCAAGTGCACAGGTATACCTTCCAGTCAACTTTCCCACCTCCCCCCAAAGTAAGGTCCAGAAGGGTTTGTCCAGTGGAACCGTAGGCTCTGGCCTGTCTCCTACACACATAAGCTGTCCCTCCTCTTTCTGCAAGGACTTGGTGTGTCCCTGCTCTAACACAGGTCCTGGTAGCTGTGGGGATTCTTCCGGGAAGGAAAACATTAGAGTCCGTTAGGAGGGATGGGCTGACCCAAGTTGGCCCTGCTTCCCAGGTTGAGATCCCACACAGGTGCTTGAGTTCCAGCATTCCCCTCAGACCCTTGCCAGGAGACTCAAAACACACCTAACAAGGAGAGAGAGAGAAGTAATAACCCTCTCCTTGGATGTGATATCAGTGCCCACATCCAAGGGACTTATCCTTCTACCCATCTTCCCTGGGGTACCAGCTCTGCCCATGCTTAGGCACCATCCTCAGAATCCTTCCTGAGGCTGGCCTGCTCGCCAGTCTGGCAGACACCCTTCTGGCCCTCTAAGCCTGGAGGTGCCTGGACTATGAAGGGAAGGCTCTGTGTGTGGGCAGCCAAGCCCTTTGGGTCCTTATTCTGATGGCTGAGTGGGTCCTATCCAGTCCCTGGGGAGCCCTCGGTCTTTCATGGTAAAGGGGAATGCATTAGATTCTAAGAGAAAGCTGGGTGGGAGGGGGAGCCACCTTCATGGGGCAAGAATATAGGGCATGAGCCAAGTCCAAACCCAAAGTGATTTGTCATCTTTCCCCTGACTCCAGGCAATTGGCCCTGAAGGCCCTCAATGAGCGGCTGAAGAGAGTGGAGGACCAGTCCGTCTGGCCAAGCATGGACGACGATGAAGAGGAGGCAGGGGACAAGGTGGATAGCCCCCTACCCTCAGACAAGGCCCCCATGCTCCCAGGAAAGGGGGCTGCCCCAGAATCCAGCCTGATCACCTTCGAGGCAGCTCCCCCGAAGCTGTAACTCCAGACCACCTTGAGTGTAGCACCTCCTCTCCCAAGCTCCCCCTTGACTCCTCTCAGCTACTCCAGGGCACTGACTGCTCTGAGGAGAGGGAAGAAGGCCTGCTGGGGGGTCTCCACAGCCTTCTGCTATTTCTCGCCAACACTACCCAGGACTCTTGCTACGTGGTTCCAACTCCAGACAACCACTATGCCAGGCATGGGGCCTCTGAACCATCAGCCAGCCCAGGCCCTCTGAGGTAAGACTCTACCTCAGCAGATAGCCCCAAGCAAGTGGCTACAGGGACACTGGTGTCACAGTGCCTGGGCCAACCCTTATGCCTGATACTGGTTGCCAAGAGCCCTGAGCCAAGGCAAGGATTTGCCAAAAACGTTCTGGGGGGTCCAGCCAGTGCCGGACTGCAATTCCCTGCCCACCCTCAGAAAGACTATGTTCGTGTGAAGATTTCTGATTCCCTCTGCTGTGGCTGTGGCTGGTTCTGGGCCAGAAGAGCCACAGCTCCCAAGTATTTTTTACAGGACCACTTGAGTGGGCAGCCAGGCCCAGCCTTGCAGTATCAATAAAGCAGTTCTTTGAGGTATGGCTCCTGGGCTCTGTCAGACCACCTTGCACAGCCCTCTCATCGTGTTCAACAGTAAACTTGGGGACTTTAGAGTCCGGGGCTTGGTCTCCATGGCAACTCCAGCTGAATAAGAACTCTGTTACTCCCACTCCGCCCTTACCACCACATGCCCACTGTTAAAACCACCTTCCCAGAGCTCTCACTTCAGATCCTTACTCATTTTCTCTCCCTCTGATTCCCAGTCAGGGAGGCCCTGTCCAGGGGATCTGATGGCAGAGGGCCCGTCTGTCATGAAGAGCTGTTCTCCCTGATGACTCACCCCGAAAACAGAGTTCTCAGTGCTTGACACCTGTGGAAACAGGCTATCCCGAGTTCCCACCCTGTCACTATCCACATCTAACCCCCACAGTCTGGAGGCACCAGCACAGCGGGCAGCTGGGGGACTGAAAGGACACACAGCTGTACCACCCACAGCTACAGCTCTAGGGCCCTCGTGGCACAGGCTGCTCAGCAGCCAGATCCTGGAACCTTGTGTGCTGGGACAGCTTCAGCCCCGCAGTGAGCAGCCAGGGACAGGGGTCCCCAGCTTGCCCAGCTGCCTGTTTGTTCATGCTGATAGCATTAGCAAGCACTATCCCCAACTCTAAGCTATTCCTCCCATCCAATCTTTTCAGTCATTCTTTTTTTATTTTCCTTTTTTCTCTCCTGTAATTTTTGGACATACCAGTACAAGTATGAGGTGAGTGGCCGGGGAAGTAGTCTTGCATCCCCCACTCAGCCAGCCACATCATCCATAAGCTCCTCTGACAGTACAGAAGGAAAGGGGAAGCACTTCAGGGTGAGGAGCAAGCAAAATGTCACACACAAGACTCCTACTCTAACCTGTTGCAATGCCTGAGGTGCTCCCATGACTTGGGTCAGCTGAGAGAGTCCAGGAGGTCCCAGCCCCAGCTGCTATGCTGAGGGGCAAATCCAGGCTTCTAGGCTGGGAAGAACTCATGGTTGGATCCGTTTGCGGTACAGGTAGGCGTTGCTCACCTGACTCATGATGACCAAGCTGGTAATGACAGGACACAGCACAGCCAGATACCAGACCCCACCAGTGACTGTGGCAGTGAACCAGAGCGAACACATGGCCAATAAGAGGCTGGCACTACCCAGAAGGTAGCCCACCAGCCCAGAAGTGGCATGGTACAGCTTGAGCTTAGCCAGGGGCCATCGGGGCAGTAGTTTGGGGTAGAGCAGCCCCACACCCCCAGAGCACTGCAACCCCGCCCACAGCACAGCTATCAGCCCTGCCCTCCCATGCCACGTGGCCAGGTGCGCTTTGCCAAGCTGTTCCTTGTGGAGGATGACAAGGCCTAGGCCAAGCAGTGCACACAGCAGGGCCAGCAACTGCAGCACCCAGTGGCAGCGGGCTCGGCCCTTCCGTGAAAGGGAGCGCAGCAGCGAACTCTCAGGAGAGAACACCAGCAGTGCCTCGGTCATCAGGAAAGAGAACTGGGGAGACAGGGATGGGAAACGAAGTCAGGGTGCTGCTCAGCAGAAGGAAAAAGGTTTAGGTAACTTGCTAAACTGCCAGTCACTCTGGGCAGTCTCCCTCTTCACTCTCTCCCCAGTGACAAGAGTATCCATTTGGTGCAGTAAGAGAAACTCCAGGGCCAACATCTGCCCTGAATAACTGGCGAGAAGTATGTACGTCTCCACGCTCCTTCCTAGGTGATATGCTAAAACGTCATCTCTGCTATATTACCCAGCAAACACTAGGCTTGAGATGTGGCAGTTATAAATGATTCACAGGCTTTGTTTCCCTGACACGGGGCTGGATACAATTTCTTGGCAAGAGCTGGCCACATGGGTGCACTGTTTCAAGGAAAATTCAATGTATCACTATAAATTAAGGTAAAAGGGGACACAGGTACACCCAAATGCATTTTCTAAGCTTCCTGCCTGGAGGTGGGTGAAGTCTCATTTTGTGCTTAGACCAATTTGCTCTGGGTTTTGAACACTATGGTTCAAGTCTGGGGTATGAACCACATGCAGGAATTGGAGCATGCAACTTCTCCAATCCCACATTCCATCCCTCCAAAGAAATATGAAGTGTCCATAAGGATTCAGAGACTGTCAGGACTACCACCCATACCTGTGCTCCCTCCCACCCCCAAGAGCTGGCCAGGCGCGCTACTTACAGCCAAAGACATAAGCGTGGGGTGCCAGGAGAACAGACCTGGAATGAAAAGGAGTTTTTGTGAGGCTGAGGCAAGAAGAACCCAGCCACATCAATCCCCCACAGGGTGAGGATAACGGGCAGCCCAACACCCAAGGAAGCGCTGCCAAACTGCTAGCCCCCTCTTACCGCAACAAGCTCACCCCCTACCTATCCTTGCTTCCTGGTCCCTCCGTGGAGCAGGGGCCATGCTGTGCCACTCTGGCAGTTCTCCCTCCTCTTAGCACTTCACAAAGGGCAGCCAAGTGGGGCGCCAAGACAAGGAAAGAGAAGCCAGGTACTCTGGCCAAACTGGTAGAGCCCCCACGCTCACCTCCTCCCCACTTAGCCCTCCAAACATAAGATGTCCCCCAGCCAGCCAAGCCTTCCTGGAGTCAGGCCCAAGGCTTCCTCTTGCTCCTGCTCCCCAGGAGAAGGGGCACTTTCCTTCCCAGAAGTCAACTATGAAGTCTACTTACTGGAGCCAGGCCTGGCAAGCACAGCCACAAAGATGGTAAAACCCAGGGCCACAAGGTGGGCAGCAGCCCCAGAGGCAGTGCGCAGCGCTCTGTAGATGTGCGACTCGGTCTCCACAGAAAGGGCCATGGTCAACCAGGCCAATGGCTGTAGACTGAAAGCATAGTAGAATGAGCAAGTGTCTCAGGTGCCTGCTGTCCACTCTTCTCACTGGAGCAAAGGTTGTGGGTCAGGAATGCCACTCTCTTCCAAGAAGTTAAGGTAGGAAGGGACAGTACCAACACAGGCACTAGGAATAGTCGAGGACCGGCGGCCTGTCGGCGTGCACCCGCATCTGAATGGGCACTGATCCCCGGCCCACCTTCCAGGTAGGATGCGCAAGGCCATGTAATAGACTACAAATCCCAGCGGGCGTCACGCCGTCGCCGCGCGGGAGCGCCAGCTAAAAGGGCGTGAAGTACTATGGGAATTGTAGTTCCCATCTCTGTACAAAATTATAGCCTGAATCCTTTCGCGCGCAGTCGCCCCACGTGCCCCTGGCATGCTGCGCCTACAACTAGGGACTCGCCTGCCTCACCCGCAGCGCTGACCCGATGCAGTGGTTTCTTCCCGAGAAAGCGGGATACTCGGGGCACTGCCGCGCGCGCTGCCGCTCCGTCGCGGAGCCTCTTCACTTCCGGGTGCGACGTCTGCCCAGCCGGGACTTCCTGAGACAAGATTCCCCCACCTCCAGCCACACCTCCCAGTCGCTCTGCGCAAGCGCTGTTAAGCAGACAGCTTACGGTGCGTGAGTGCGCAGGCGTGCCTGCCTTGGCTAGCCAGGCCTGAGGGCTGTCTCCGACGGGTGTTCGCAGGGGTTCAGGAGCCAGGGTCTACAGACCTGGGCCCTGCCAGCGCCATGGGCAGCGGCTGCCGCATCGAATGCATATTCTTCAGCGAGTTCCACCCCACGCTGGGACCCAAGATCACCTATCAGGTGCCATCCGTGCCCGCGGGGGCGGGGGTGGTGGGAGAGGGACGCTCCCGGGAGCTGAGCAAGCTGCCCGGAAGCGGTGGATTCCTGTAGCCCATGCTGCACGCAGGCATACCATTCCTTCATTCGCGGAGAATCGTGAATCGAGAGGCCACTCAGACCCAGGTCCCAGGCTCCCGGTGTGACGGGGCAAACAGCCCATAGGCAATGATTGTGGGAAATCGGGCTGTAGAGATCCCAGGGAGGTGCCAGCTCCCAAGAGAGGCGGGGTGCATGGTCTAGTAGTATTCCTGGATGTTTAGGAATTTAGATGGAGGAGGAGTGAGTGAGCCAGGTAGGGGAAACAGCATATGCAAAAGCCAGGAGGCAGGTGAGAACATGTCATATGTTTGGAAACACAAAATAGTGGTAGATCTGGGTGGATGGGGGGGAGGAGAATCTCTGGACAAGAGGGCTTAGGCTTTGGGGGTCACCCAGTGTACTCTACATTGTCCCAGGGCCCACTAAGGGGCCTCTTACCACTCCCCTCCCCAGGTCCCTGAAGACTTCATCTCCCGAGAGCTGTTTGACACAGTCCAGGTGTACATCATCACCAAGCCAGAGCTGCAGAACAAGCTTATCACTGTGTGAGGCCCTAGTGGGGAAGGGAGGGAATGTCCCCTGAGGAGTGGATGAGCTTGGGGACAGAAGGAGCCTGACTTTGCTCCCACCTGTTCCCCCCATCCAGCACAGCCATGGAGAAGAAACTGATCGGCTGCCCTGTGTGCATTGAACACAAGAAGTACAGCCGCAATGCCCTGCTTTTCAACCTAGGCTTCGTGTGTGATGCCCAGGCCAAGACCTGTGCCCTCGAGCCCATTGTCAAAAAGCTGGCTGGCTACCTGACCACACTGGAGGTCTGCAACAGGATGGGCTTGAGTGGAGGGGAAGGCAGGCAAATGTTTCCAAAGCCCTCCAAACCTGGGTATCTGCCAGGGCAGGATACCAGCCAGGGTTCCTGGGGTGTGCCCACCATGTTGTCCATGCTCCATCCAGCTAGAGAGCAGCTTCGTGTCAACAGAGGAGAGCAAGCAGAAGTTGGTGCCCATCATGACCATCTTGCTGGAGGAGCTAAATGCCTCAGGCCGGTGCACTCTGCCCATCGGTATGGCCCTGCCTTTTCAAGGACAGCAGAGGGGTAGAGGAGGGATATGAACATGACAAGGGAAGGCAAGCCCAGCCATGGGCAAGACTCACAAACAAATTGGTGGCCCAGTGAGCTGGGTTAATGCTGTCCAGGGTCCAGTGCATGTTGGGATTTGGGATGTGGAGGCCAGAAGAGCTCTCTATGCTCCTTGGGTATGTTCCCTTCCCTCTCTGGACCTGTCTCTGGCTCCCTAAAAGGGGAAGATTGGGAGCGCCTGGCTGGCTCAGTCAGTAAAGCATGTGAGTCTTGATCTTGAGTTCATGAGTTCAAGCCCCACGTTGGACATGGAGCTTACTTAAGGTGGGGGTTGGGGAGACTGGCCCTACCCAGGGCTACCCACCTGCCTCAAGAGCTGCTGGGAAGACTGGAGGGTAATTGAGGGTCTCTTGAAAGAGAGGACACTGAAGATATGGGTGGGGCCCCTGCAGATGAGTCCAACACCATCCACTTGAAGGTGATTGAGCAGCGACCTGACCCTCCTGTGGCCCAGGAGTATGATGTGCCTGTCTTTACCAAGGACAAGGAGGATTTCTTCAACTCACAGTGGGACCTTACCACACAACAGGTGTGCTATTCCTCCCTGGGTATCACCACCTAGGGCTGGCCACAGCTCTGGCCTCATCCCACTCCTACTGACCCTGCCCTACCCTGCCCTGCTTTTCCCAGATCCTGCCCTATATTGATGGCTTCCGCCATGTCCAGAAGATCTCAGCCGAGGCAGATGTGGAGCTCAACCTGGTGCGCATCGCCATCCAGAACTTGCTGTGAGTGGGGCAGCAGTCACACTTGGGACAGGGTTGCTGGCCAGAGAAGAACCTCAGGACCCCACGTGTGGAGGTGGGAAGGCATGGCCCTCAGAAGTTGAGCACAACTATCTCCCGCAGGTATTATGGCGTCGTGACACTGGTGTCCATCCTCCAGGTAGGTGAGTCTGGGGTCTGGTTAAGCAGAGAGTAAGTTACATGGTTTGGCCAGACTGGGGTGGTGTCAGACTTCCAAGCCCCTCACTCAGGCCCCTGTGCTTCCTGCTACCCTCCAGTATTCCAATGTATACTGCCCGACACCCAAGGTCCAGGACCTCGTAGATGACAAGTCCCTGCAAGAGGCCTGTTTATCCTATGTGACCAAACAAGGTAGTGGTGGGCTCTGGGGGAGGCCGTCTTGGGGAGGGCAGGGCTACCTGCAGAGCTGACCCTCGGTGCCCACAGGGCACAAGAGGGCCAGTCTCCGGGATGTGTTCCAGCTGTACTGCAGCCTGAGCCCTGGCACAACTGTGAGAGACCTCATTGGCCGCCACCCCCAGCAGCTGCAGCGCGTTGATGAACGGTCAGAAGAGGATCCCCAGGGGCACGAGGGGTTTGCATGAAAGCAGATACACTCTACATCTCTCTGGAGCCTTGGGTTAGAAAGGAAGCTGGAGATTCCTAGTGAGCAGAATCATGTGGCACTACTAGTGTAGGCAGGCTTCCCGGAGGTGATGCATTCAGAGGCCAACAAAATCAGAAGGGAGACTGCAGGAAAGGGTTAGCAGGACTGGAGGAAGCCCTGGGCAGGGCATCACCCCTCTCTCCCTCAACCCCACCCCAGGAAGCTGATCCAGTTCGGGCTGATGAAGAACCTCATCCGCCGACTACAGAAGTACCCCGTGCGGGTGTCTCGGGAGGAGCGGAGCCACCCTGCCCGGCTTTACACAGGCTGCCACAGCTATGATGAGATCTGCTGCAAGACAGGTGGAGACAGGCAGGGCTGCTGGGGTGGGGTCAGGGCAGGTGGCCAGGCCAAGACTGCTCACCTTACCTGCACTGTCCCAAACAGGCATGAGCTACCACGAACTTGATGAACGGCTGGAAAATGACCCCAACATCATCATCTGTTGGAAATGAGGCTGGTGGGGGTTACACGCGGCTGTGGCTGCTCTCTCTCCTTCTAAGTGCTCCCGAGTGCATGAGGGCTAGACCGGTAGACTCGTCCATGTTGTCTCAAGGGTGACCCTCACTTCTGTAAATAAAATCATCCATTTCAACCTACCTTTATTGAGTACCGCCTCTGAACCAGCCACCAGGGAACTAGCGGTGAAATAGGTCCTGGCGCTCTGGTGCGCCATCTGGTGGGCAGGAATGACAATGCACAAGTAAAAGTGCCCGCTAATTATTAATTGAAATGAAGAGCCAAAAAAACAATCAGGAAGCTGTCATGAAGAATGAGTTGGGGATGGGAGCTGGGGTTGTTCTGGATTAAATGGGCAAGGAAGGCCTCGCTGAAGTGACTTTCAACTGAGACTTGAAGGAGGAAAAGTATTTCAGCAGAGGGAACAGGTGTAGAAGCCCTGAAGCAAAAACAGCTTTAGGATGCATGAGGAAGCCAAGAGAGGCCCCAGGGGCTGCAACATAGGAGGCAATGGGGAGAGGGGCAAGAAAAGAAGTCCCGAGGTACTGAGGGGTCAAGAACTTGATACTGCAGAGTTCCTGGTAAGCTGCTTTGGACATACTATTTCAAAGGCTAGAGGCAGCCATAGAGTCACCCTGAAAAAGACGACAGCAGTTACCTCGTGAGAGGTTGATGGCAGTCTGCTAGGCTAGGATGGAGACAAGTGGGCCCTGCGCAGTACTTTGTGGGGGTAGAAGCAACAGGTGGAGCTGGGTGCGAGACATAGTAGGACGAGGAAGCCACGGAGAGGAGCATCCGCGCGGCCGAGGTGGATCCCTGGCTGAAAGAACTGGAGGGGGCAGAGTGACCCTATCCCTGTGCGGGTCGATCTGACGTCCGAGGAGGGAACCTAGGCCAGAGGAGTCTGGCACTCAGGGCAGACCCAGGAGCTGCAGTCAAAGGTGAGGGGTAAAGTTCTGGGAGTCCAAAGAGGGTCGAGACCAGCTGCCGGGAGGGCGAGGCGGCCGGGGGCGTGGCCGGAGCCCGTGCAGGCGGCACTGCGCAGGCGCCAAGCTGACCGTTTCCATGACGGCGAGTACCCACGCGTCTCAACCGCTGGGCAACCGCTGTGTCCAAGACCAGGACCCCGCGGGAGACGTTCGTCCCCGAGAGTTTCAGCACTCGCACCTCAGCGCCGGCTGCTGTCCGGGGTCAGCTGAACCCCCGCCCCCTTCCCGCTCGCTCTCTGCGGCCACAACATGGGCGACCTGGAGCTGCTGCTGCCAGGGGAGGCTGACATGCTGGTGCGGGGGCTGCGCAGCTTCCCGCCGCGCGAGATGGGCTCTGGAGGGTGAGGCAGCTGGATCCAGGGGTTAGGCGGAACCACGGGGTCGGAGTCCTTGAATGGAGGAGTAGGGACCTGACATGGGGGAGAGGGTGACCAGTGTGGGGGAGCCCCCAGGTGAAGAGACAGAGCTCTCTGACTTAGGAGTATATGGCCCTGAGCCCCCTCTGGCCCCTCAGAATCAGGTTAGGCTTCAATAGGACCCAGCCCACCCCCACTCCTACGGCACACGTGTGCTCCCAAATGCACATACACCCCCATTCTCTGGGACAGGTGGAACCAGCAGCATGAGAATCTGGAGAAGCTGAACATGCAGGCTATCCTTGATGCTACAGCCAGCCAGGGGGAGCCCATCCAGGAGCTGCTGGTCACCCATGGGAAGGTATGCTGGGATCACAGGCACGGTTCCTGCCTTCCCACCACCTCCCACACCACCACTCTACCTATCAGGAGCACCCTGGGTGCCACTTCCCTCAGGGTGGTACACTTGTCTTCCCTAAGGGAAAAGAGAGGAGTGTGCTACACCTTTGATTTGGTGCCCCTTTTGTACAGGACTCTGGCACACCAGTCCAAGTGTGAGGCATGGCTTGATTTGGGAGGTAGTTGTGGATCAAAGAACAGCCTAGTCTGTGGGGGGAGGGCCCACGTTCTAAAAACATCCTTGAATAGACTGTCAGGCCAGAGGCGACCCTCAGTAAAGAACAGGGTGGGACTCTGGCATGGAAGGAGGCAGACTTTCTCTTCCTCTTCCTCAAGGAGAGAGGAGTTAGAAACCAGGGATCAGCCCGGCTGGAACATGAGCCAGGACATGGCTCAGATAAGTAACCTGAGGTATCACTTGGCAAAAGGGTTCCTCTGCAGATGAAAGGTGGAGCCTCCTGCCGGAGGGTGGGAAAGGACTAGGAAATTGTGCAAGGCCCTGAGTAAGGATGAGGTCAAGGTACACTAGAACCTTGGAAGGCCAAAGGACTGGGATGAGAGGGAGGGCATCAGCAGGAGAGCCAGCCTGAGAAGAACGCCCGAATGGGGACAGAAGGGACAAGAGCATAGATGTAAAGGAGAACAAGGCAGCCTAGGGACTAGGCAAGAGCCAGTTACAAGAAGCATGAGGAATGTCCCCACAGAGATATCAAGGGCAATTAGAAATGAAGGTCTAAGGTGCAGGAGACACATTGGGAAGGTGCCTATGGAAAGAATCTAGGGGCCCAGGGGACTTTGAGGAGAGTCAGGCAGGGCTGAGCCAGGGATGGGAGGGTTGCCAGGCCAAGGTAAGCCTACTTCATCCCTCTCCTTTCCCCTCCCCCTCAAAGATCCCAACGTTGGTGGAGGAGCTGATTGCAGTGGAGATGTGGAAGCAGAAGGTGTTCCCTGTGCTGTGCAGGCTGGAGGACTTCAAGCCCCAGAACACTTTTCCCATATACATGGTGGTGAGCTAGGCCCCTGGTCACACCCTGACCATGCCTTTAGAGGGCTCTGGATTCGAGAGGAGAGCTAGTAATTTCCTCAGCAGCTCCAGGCTCTGTTCTCTTTATCTGACAGGTACACCACGAGGCCTCCATTGTCAACCTTCTGGAGACTGTGTTCTTCCACAAGGTGAGGCATCAGCCCTGTCCACCAGCTGTTGCCCCAAGCTAGGGCGTAACAGGGAAGGGGGGTTGTGGCTATGTGGGGAGAGCATTGGAGACAGAATGTTTCCCCTCTGTCTCCCTCTCAGGAGGTGTGTGAGTCAGCAGAAGACACTGTCTTGGACCTGGTAGACTACTGCCACCGAAAATTGACTCTGTTGGTGGCCCGGAGTGGCCGTGGTGGCCCTCCTGAGGAGGAGTCCCAGTACAGCACCCCAATACAGGTAGGCTGAGGTTCCCTGGGGGTGCCAATGGGTAGACCAGGCTCCCTTGAGGCCTGAGCAAGCTGGGGGTGGCCCAGCTTAAGCACCATGTCCCCCCCACCCCCAGGAGCTGCAGAAGCAGGCCGAGCTGATGGAGTTTGAGATCGCATTGAAGGCCCTCTCAGTGCTGCGCTACATCACAGACTGTGTGGACAGGTGGGCAGTCCTGCCAGGCCTGGGGCCCACAGTGGAGGACTGGGATCCCGGGCCTGTAGCCTCTGCTCACTTCTCTCCACCACCACGCCTAGCCTTTCCTTGAGCACCTTGAACCGCATGCTCAGTACCCACAACTTGCCCTGCCTCCTGGTGGAACTGCTGGAACACAGTCCCTGGAGCCGCCAGGAAGGAGGTAAGGTCCTCCCCCATCTGCCTAAGCCCCAGCTCACGGCTGCCCGGAGACATCTTCCCGGACTGACGGAGACAGGCAGCTTGCCCCCAGGAGACACACTCTGCCCGCTAGCTCGTAGTGGATCCGGGGATGCATCACGTGGGATGGGCTTGGACCTGGGCTCTGCAGCAGGCAAGGCCTCTGTGTCTGCTACTAAGGACTCCCCCTGCTCTAGAACAAGCAGTGCCCTAACCTGGGCCAGTCCTGAGCCCATGCAGCTGTAGTGGCTGAGTGAGCAATGCCCACTCCTCTCCCCAGGCAAGCTGCAGCACTTTGAGGGTGGCCGTTGGCAGAGAGTGGCCCCCTCAGAGCAGCAAAAGCTGAGCAAGTTGGATGGGCAGGTGTGGATCGCTCTGTACAACCTGCTGCTAAGCCCGGAAGCCCGGGCCCGCTACCACCTCACCAGCTTTGCCAAGGGCCAGCTACTCAAGGTGGGGCCCTCCTCCGGCCGCAGCGCCACCCAGCCCACCCCAGCCCAGTGCAGCCCACTCACCTCAGCCCCAGTCCTATTTCTAGACCCTGAACCTCGAGCGACACGATCCCCACAAGCACCTAAGCCCAGCCCAGCATAGGCCCTCTCTGGTCAGCCCTGCTTCACACTGGCCTTCCCTGGACTCCCTTGCAGCTTCGGGCCTTCCTCACGGACACACTGCTCGACCAGCTGCCCAACCTGGCAGACCTGCAGGGCTTCCTGGCCCACCTGGCCCTGGCTGAAACCCAGCCCCCTAAGAAGGACCTGGTGTTGGAACAGGTAGGTACTAGAAAGTCAGTGACTCAGGACGACTCCCTGCCTTGCCAGCTCCTCCCTGACACTTTGCACGTTTCTCCCACAGATCCCAGAAATCTGGGAGCGGCTGGAGAGAGAGAACAGAGGGAAGTGGCAGGCTATTGCCAAGCACCAGCTGAGGCACACATTCAGCCCCTCGGAGCAGGACCTGCGGCTGCAGGCACGAAGGTGAGGCCTGCTGAGCAAGCAGAGGGGGTGGGAGGGATGCAGAAGGCACGGGCATAGGCAGGGGTGCTCTTATGTGCCCACTGGCCAGGCCCAGCCAGGCTTTCCTGACGTCTTTCCTAGATGGGCTGAGACTTACAGGCTGGACGTCCTGGAGGCAGTAACCCCAGAGCGGCCCCGCTGTGCCTACTGCAGTGCAGAAGCCTCCAAACGCTGCTCACGGTGCCAGAGTGAATGGTATTGCTGCAGGTGAGGGCATCCTGGGACCTTGGACCCCTAAGCCCCCCTTTCAGACCCTCCGCTAGCTCTGCCTGCTCACCAGCCCACCTGCTTGCAGGGAGTGCCAGGTCAAGCACTGGGAGAAGCATGGAAAGGCTTGTGTCCCGGCAGCCCAAGGTGACAGAGCCAAGTGAAGGCTGCAGCTGCTAAAGGCCATCCACCCGTACAGCCCACCCAAGAGTGTGCCCTTGAACCTCAGGATCTCAGCCTAGTCTCTGCCAGAGCCCCAGCCTCCCAGGTGGTGAGCACAGTGAGCATAGACCCATCTTCCCCAGCAAAGCGCTCCCCACTTCCTGCCCTACCCAGCCGG